TTCTGCCTTTCCAAAATCAGCATTTAGAATAAACCAAATATTCTACAGCATGCCTCCAAAAATTGATTAACCTCTACTATACAATAATCACATTTGTGGGCACAGTTAACTGACAGTTGTTAAGAGACTCCAGATACTTCATTTTGAGATAAATGGAATTTTATTTTTAGGGAGAGAGTGATTCCTCTTTATAATAAATTTATAAAAGTGCAATATCTTAAATATTTACTGCATGCAAGTTGTCTGTTTTTGTTAGCATCATATAAAGTAATCTTATGTAATAACTTATCTCTGCAAGAATACATTTGAACTTATTGTCGAATGAATGAATCTCTTCAGTTGAGTGCCAGTCTGATCATTGCATGAACCACCTCATACAAGACTGTAGGAAAAAAAGCAAGTTTTCAGTAGCATTTTGGCAAACACAGTTCTCTATTGACAAAGCAAAATGACATATTAAAATGGGTATTTTGGCCCAGTTTGGCCCATGTTAGCCTACTATATCCTTCAGTTGACTGTGTTACAGCTATAGTGTTACAGTTTTGTTTTCTGAAATGCCTGTCCACAAGGCTAATTGGATTTGCCCCCAATTACGGGAACTTTCCGAAGCTATTCTTATTCACAATTTGTCTTTAATTTAGCCAATATAAATCAACTCTGTAATCATTACCAGAACTGAATCTGATACGTCAAGCAACCTTCTCTTTATGGCAAACAGGATTAAGGAAAGATACAGAAAAATAATCAGAACAGGATGGCAGGAGGAACATGAAATAAGATTAAGCAAAAAGTGCAGTCTTCTTCAGCTGTATTACACTTCATCAATTGTTCAATTTTAGCAGACCAATTTACATTTAATTCACAAGGATCAGAAAGTATTCCAGAGTGTACATACATAAAGCAGTACTGTAAAAATATTTTCTTCAGATGGCAGGAAGCGATTAATCAGTGTGATAGAGGAGTGTGAATGGAGAAAGAAGGAGTGCCTTGGACAAGGACACAGTAAACCTTAAATGTCACGCACAGTGACACGGCATTCGAAATACCTTAAAATGGAAAACAATTTTTTTTTTTTAAGATCTTACTGGAAATGAACAAGAACTATTTTTTTTTTTTTTCCTGAGACGAATATTACAATTCTTGTATTTCTCCATCCCTAACACCAAGTGTGACTTGTTGGCTTCAGTCTGATTATAGTCGGGTTTAGTCCATATATACACAAACTTGTTAATTCTTAAAGGGGAGCAGAAAAGAGTTTTCCTTGTCCTATAATTTCTTTTTTTTTCCAGGATAAAAATGCAATCAAGACCTTTCAAAGCGAAAAGAGCAAGCCTTCCAAGCCAGAATAGCTAATAGCCCATGAAGTGCACAAAATGAAGGGTTTTGATACTACATGCTGTTCAGGACTAGGTTTTAAAGGTAGGGGAGTGTTATAGGGGAGTGTTGCTCCCCTTTTTCCTAACTTCTAAGCCTTTTAGCCACACAATTCTACCTCTTCCATTTAGTCAGCTTAGCACTTATCTGAACTGTTGATTAGCCAAATTGGCTGAAGATTAGACTACTAAACCAGCCAAGCAAGAAGAGGAAAAATGAGTGGGGTTTTTCACCCAGTTTATTAGCTGGCCAAGTGGTAGGGCTGACACAAGGGAGAGGGAAAACCCCACGCGGCTGAGAGCCGGGAATTGAGGAGTCTTGGAGAGTGGTTCCTTTTGGTAGCAAAGAGCTACGAGAGGGGGCCAGCTGCCTTGATACCAGATGCTGATACCAAATGCATTCCTGAGGAGCTGGCAACTGTGTATTTTGTGGTGGCCTGCAAATACTCTGGAACTCCTAGGTGTTTGGGACAGTATCCTAGAAGGCAGTTGGCAATCGGGTGATATGATCATAGTATGTGATGTAAGGTTTTATCACAACTATGCAAAATTTATCACACAGATAGTTTCTGCATCTATTTCACGTATCTAAATATCACTTCTTACACTGTGTTTTTGCTGACGTTCTCTTCACTGAGACATAAAGATAAAACAAATCCTTCCCCACTGATCCCTCTCCCTTACATTCTGCAACAGGAAAGAAAAATCAGGAACCATTCACTCAAATCCTTGCTTAGGCTCCTTGTTTAGACTCCAAGAATCTTACTTAAACTGTTGGGATCACATAATAGAGATGAAGATTTGAGATCCACTGATTGTTGACCAGATATGAGCCAGACTCCTGAAAAGCAACACGTAGACATCTTTCCGTTTGTTACTCCTATCATCATACAGGCGAACAAAAAGATCAAAGAAGCCGCCTGCTCTTGCAGTACTACTGCAATCAGCCAAATTCACCTCGCCATCTACAAATTCTGAAAGTTTTCTGTTAGTGAGATATAGACTATTATTCCTCTTCCCCCACGCTTCCGAGCTTCCATTGTACACAAGCCAAAAAAACTCTTTAATACTACTGTCAAATGACTGTCTCCACTGTAACAAACCTTAAATGTTTTGAATGTTCTGGCTGTAATAAACATATTCTGGAAATTTTAATATTTAGACAATGAGGACAGAGCACGTATAATTAAAAAGTAATAATGGAATAATACATCTATCCAACATTTATCCATAATAAGCAGCATTTTGGGAGAACAATAAGCCCAAATAATATTTCGGAAAAGCTAAATTTCAAGGAATGAAGATACTATAGTACGAAGTTATGGCCAAAAATACTGTATTTTTAACCAGCAACATTTTTGAGGGGCAGTTACTGTACAATATTAGTTTTTTTCTAAAAAAACTGTTCCTGTCCCTCAAACAACACACAATACATGCATTTAAATGACACTTTAAGAACAGCAAGTAAGATCTTTATTTTTAAATACTGCAAGTTTAAAAATGTTATCTGACACCCCCCCCCCAAAAAAAAAAAAATTGGTCAAATAAGGATTTCCTGCAGCATAGTAAATGAGGAATCCAGCAACAGACTTCAGGTTAGACTGTATTTTGAGAGGAAAAAACCAAACCAACAGATTTACAGTAAGATTGATCTGGCTGACTTTGTGTTTTTCACACTATCTTCAAAACCTCCCTCTGTTCCTTTTGTTCCTGCAGCATTGCTACTGTGAAAAAGCTTGAGTTAAACTTAACAGTACAATCCCTTTAACTAGCTAAATAGTGACCCTGAATGTATTGTTGACTGCGTAGAAATGTTTCTGGTTTGATTGATAGAACTCAAAATGTTATGGGTAACCAAAAGCCAAAAAAGAGGAAACATCAGTAGCTCATCTTCTCAAACTAAATGTATGGTTTTGCAAGATCTCTGCTAAACTACCAAACTGGACAGGGACAGACGGCTTTAGTTGTTTAATGCATACTAAATTTTAGAATTTATGGTTTATGTCAGAAGAGAGACTGTATTTACAAAAGTGTGAATTTCTAAAATACCATAATTAATTACCTACATGAGGACATTTTAATTTCCTAACTTAGGACGGTCTCTCAAAAACATATTTACTTTACTGGTCTCTTAGCTAGAGGTAGGTAATTTGTAGGCCTTGTTAATATGATGTGCATATTAACATTAGTTCACTAATGTAATAGTCTGCAGGATAACCATGCACAGAGCTCCAAGAACAGCAGCACATATAATAAATTAATTGGGTAAATTTTATTTTTTCATGTGGGTTAACATGTCTTTGTTTTCTCCTGTTGTTTCATTCTTTTATGAAGAACGTGTAACAAGGAAAGGGTCATGAGGTCGAGTAATCTGAAAGTCTTCTGCACCTTACAACCAAAGGCTGGGAGTCTAGCAATGTCTTATATGCAGCCCTTTTCCCCCCTTTTAGAGTTTTTGCAAATCATGCAGTCAATTCTGACTGATATCCAGCATAAAAAGTCTCTTCTCCACTTTCAAACTTAAAAAAGTGATTCACAATCAAGTGGCAGTATGATTAAAAATTACAGTCCATACACCTTGACAATCAAAAGAGTCTGAATTATAAAAAGTAAACTGCCCTTATAGCTGCATCATCCTATATATGTAAGGACAGTGCCAGTTAATTTGTGAAAAAGGCAAGTTTAAGATTTCTGTAAAACACGTATTACAGCTTTCTTGTGCTAGTGAACATCTAGAATACACAGGTTCCCAAGACGTTTTCCCTCCCTCCTCCCCCATTTATGACATTCAAAGAAATCACATAATTTTGGCAAAGTTAAAACGGTTTCTGTCTTGATGTTTTTGCCTTCAGCTTCATGTTAGAGGCACAAACTTCTGGACTCAAGCACTGTAAGGCATAGTAGAAACCACCAATTAAAACAACAGCACCACCACCACCACCACCACAACAGAATATACTGCAGGTGGGAACAGCTGTGTCATTTAAAAAGGAAATGTTTTTGTAAACTGTCACACTGCAATGCTGTGTTAGGTGATTCATGTTAAGCTTGCCTTGGCATGCCGAATATTTTTTTTTCCCCAGAACATGCTCAGATGATCTAAACACTGCCACAGGTTCAACTTACCTAAAATATACCAGCAGTAGCCCAGTGGCACACACTCTTGAAAACTTTTGCAATCACGATATAACTATAAAGCATGAGTAAACCGTTGTTTTGTTTTTATACAAAACTCAGAACCACATTTCCTTCTCCCCCACCCAATATCCCATAACAAAACAAAACAAATTAAAAAAACAACCAAACAAACAAACCCAAACCTTTGTTAGACACCACTGTCTCTTTTTTTGTCTTTTTTTTTTTTTCTTTTTTGGCTACAGTTCCATTCATAGCACTGAATCCAGTGTGGGCAATGTACTCCCAGGTTGAAAGAAGGGATATTGTCAACAGTGGAACTGTGAAAACAAAAGCTCCGTTGCATTTGTAGCAAGATCACGACCAATTTTGAACGCTGTATGTAAGAGGCACTGCTCTGATCCCCAATTCAGAATGTCAGTGTCACTTTTTATAACCTAGATCTACCTGCTTTAGCTTTATTAAATAAAATGCTTTAACTCCTTAAAATCATTAACAATAGTGACTTTTTGGTTGTTGTTGTTATATCTAAGGTTTCTGCAGTTTCTGAAAGACTGTTTGATTGATCTGATGTTCTGTATTTTTTCATGGTATTTTTAGGGCAACAGCATATACTCATTAGTACTTATGTACAATGGTTTGAAATATCTCTAAATTTACTTTTCTAATAAAGCCTATTAGAAAAGTAAAAGTAATCTAATGTGACTCTGCCAAATATAAATTAAATTTATATTTAAAAGCTTATGTTCCAATCCTAGATATAATGGCATAAATTCTTCTAATAAGACTGGTTTCAACACCTGTATAAAGCCCTGACAAGATTTAAGCATTGTTTTGAATGGCTTCTGTCTGGGTGTCTCCAATTTACTTCTACTCAGGAATGTGCAAATGATTTTATACAGCACGATGCTAGTACCGCTCTGTACTATAGTAATTTTTTTGTTTTGTAAATAAAAAACAACAACAAATCCCTAGTCAGAAATAAACTGACAAAATTTACATTCTTCTCTCTTAAAAAAGTAAATAAAATAACATTATTTAAAATGTGAATTAGCTATAAGACATACAATACAATTACATAGATACATATCAATACAGCACATTCAATTTGCCAAAAATTAATGATTACAAAGCCAATATGGATGCTGCCATATATATATATAGATGTATGTACAATGATTATAGCATTCATAATTGCACTATACCTACAACCAGTTTTAAATTACAAGGTGTTTTAAGAGGGAGCAAAAAATAGCAACTGTTCTTATTATTGTTGTTTTGGAGTTGGGAGGGTTAAGCATGAAAAACGTCTCATTCGTATTTATTGTTAACTTTGGTAATCAACTAACAAGCCATTCTTTTTTTCCACCTCCCATCTGCTGCTATGAGGCAGCAATTTCTGTGTTAAGTGCACTCTAGTGCTACTTGGCATTACAGATAATCAATCCAATTATGTGTCTGAACTCTGAGTTTTCTGTAGCTTGCTAGCAATCATGCACCTGGTCAAAAAACACCTTTCAACCTAAGCTGCAGAATAAAGGCTCATCAATGTGTGCTGCATTTTTGTTGTTAAAAAATTGCACATTTAAATTTCAAGAATGATTTTTCTCACTGTTTCATTTACATTAATAAATCTTTTCTAAAGAACATTGAGAGAGGCTATTTTGCATGAAAGCCTATCAAATGTCTGTGAATCAGTTAGTTAACAAGCAACCTTATCAAGAAAGGTTCCTGAACGTGATCTCTCATCAATAGTTTCTTGTTATACAATTAAAGGTGCCTTGGTATTATTACAGAAAACAATCTCATGCTGTATCTGACATAAGGAGAGATTTAAACTGTCTTTAAATTAGTAGACCACATGCGTGTGCATGGTGCACCTTGTAGCATATTCACTCACGCTGTTGGTTTTGGCATTAGAAAATGGAACACTTTCTAAAAAAGGGAACATATGAGCTGAAACTGTTTGTTCATCATTTGGCAGTTGACTCAATCAGGTCAGTTCCCAACCCATCAGTTTGGCATTTCAATCAGTATCTTATGTTTCAAGAGCATTGGTTTTATAAAAAGCCAGATTTGGCAACATTAATTTTATACAATAAAAATAATTTTTCTACTATGGAAAAAGAACACTTAAAAAAGCTCTAACTTAAGAAAAAAACCCCACACAACTGAAAAAAAAAAAACACTGTTTCAGGCTGTAGCCACTGGGGAAAATGTAGTGTCTATGACATTTCTATTTGGCATTTGTGAATAAAAGAAGAGAGAAAAAAATGGCACATGGCAATTAAAAAGAAATTCTAACATATCCCACACACATCCCAGGTTGTGTCTTAATTATTTCATTACTGTCTTCTGTGCACCTCTCCAAACTGTGAAAATATGGTTAAATTTAATATCCTTAGACAACTGTAATTCTATTTTGCAATCCCAATATTCTAGTCCCAAAAGTGAAGACAGAATGAAAACATCCATGTCAAGAATTTAAAAATCACAGTATCAATACTTTTGATCCGTCAGAGAAATTATATACTGTAAAATTAGAATGACTGATGACTTAAATTTTGATGATAGTATTTTCCTGACCAAATCACTCAACAGAAAATATTTCACCCAGGAATGCAACTCGGAAAAAAAGGGCCATTGTACCTTGTAAAAGATAAGGGGGGAGGGGAAGGAGGGAGAGAAAAAGGGTCGGGGAAAGAGGAAACAAGCTTGATTTTGCTTCAATAGCAAAAAACTGCTATTTTTTGTAAATATACGACTGAGAATTTAAAACACATTGAGTCACAAGGTTTTGCCTAAAAAATGAGGAAATGTGCTGTGAATGTACTTCAGCATCTTTTGGTTTTCCTCCATATAGTTTAAATAAAATCATAATATTAACTACAAACTCTGTGGACATTCACAGAGTCCAGGCCGGCAATAAATTAGTATTATGCAAATTGTTTTCACAGATAATACAGTCCCTCTTGTATATCTTTAATCACGCGAAGTTGGTTTTGGAGGGCCTCCTAGGCACAGTTAGACCAGGTTGTACTCCTTCAGGTTTAACTGTAGGATCGTGTCCTTGACAGCAGCAAAGACGAAGCGGATATTCTCTGTGTCTGTAGCGCATGTGAAGTGGGAGTAGATAATTTTGTCACTGTCTGGATTCAGGTCTACGAACATCTTCAGGATGAACTCTCGTGCTGCTTGTGCATCCCGTTGTGGTCCTGATAATTAAGAAGAAAAAGTCATTTTTCTTAAAGTCGATTAAATATTTGAACTTTTTTAACAGAAAACAAGAAAGGGTCAGTCTGTGGTCCTCACGTAATAGAAGACAGGGAACTTTTTACTAATCAATAGTATCATATAGTGCCTGCTTTCTTCCTGGTAGGAACTATGAAAAATAAAGATGGAAGGAAATTTCAGAGATTCATCACGTCAGAGCTACCATGTCAAAGCTGTCTGCTGACTATCCTCTTTCTTCAGTAAGATAATGTTTAAAACGTGATTTGTAACTGCACTGAATGAAAAATTAGCTACACTCATAAATCTTTAAAAATGGTAATAGAATTGGTGAATGTTCAGTCTACATCTACTACATTTAAATTATACGTAAGTTCTTTTAGCACTGCAACATTTACTAGTTTTATGAGGGTTTTAATAGGTAGCATAATGAAGCTATGTTCTGAACTGGTCTGACACTGTCACCAATAGAACTTCATTTACTTTAGTGATAATAAAGTACACATGCTCTCCAGCTGAAGCTGTTTGATTGCAAAAGGCTCATGTTCTAACAAATCACTTGTTATCTAAATTACGTATAATAATGATCCTATCATATCTAAATTAAGGTTGTAATTCTCAGAAGGATGCAGAGTCTATGTAACCAAACCACATGTTCAGCTTTGCAGAAGACAGAAGGTAAAGTAATGACTCCCAGCCTGGAACAGTGAGGATTCATTCACGTTCACAGCCAGAAGAGCAGTGCAGAAGCAAGAACGTTAGCCACAGGCTGTTGAATTCTGTTCCATTATTCCAGTGGTGTTTCCGAATGCCATTATTCCCTTGCTCTCCTGTTTCTGGAACATGGGTTTGTACAGAACAAGCATGTTTCCTCTGCTGCCTCCTCCTCCTATTCTCTTCATTAGTCCTGGTCTTGTTACACGACAATATAAATACCAGCACTCAGCAGTTATATGTAGCTCTGTCCTTCAGTAGTTATGAAATCTGTACTTTGGGGGTTAGCCCATGCCCACGTATTTTTCAACAATTGGAAAATAAACCCTATTTTTAATACTTCAAGCTTACAATTGCTAACATTTCCAATTTGGATAACTCCACAAAATTTAGGTAGGGAACGCACGGAAGAGAAATCACATACTTTCTGGTGTGCTGCAAATCCATGTAGAGGGGGCGTAAGATTCTGCAATGTATCCGTGTATGCACATGAACATATATGTACATACATACACATATACAGACTACACATTTCCTGAGATTTAGGGATGTAAACAGATCATAAGCTCTCTGAAGCAGGACAGAGGACTGTTCAACACTTCTACAGCTTCTTAAACACAACAGGGTCTAGCCTTTGGTTTGGTCACCCAGACTCTATAGAAACAGCAGCACACTGTCTCACACTACCACGAATAAATTTGCAGTATTTGTGAAGAAAACTCTTAGACTTTCAAAGACAATGATTTCTTCAAAATAAACCATTTACTGTTTTAAATAACTTCCTAGACTTTTGTTAAACAGCTTCATAGTAGCCAGTCACAGCGCACTCTCAAAAGCTACTGCACTATTCAAAGTTTGTATCCAAATTTGCTTACCTAATCACACCTCCACTGACTATCATGTAATTTAAATTTTTGTTTGACTGAAGTTCAAGTACGGAAAATTGAGGTTAGCAAGGAAGTTTATGACCTCGGGAATTTGGAAAAAAATTGAATGAGTCGATGTTAAATTTAGACTGCAAAGTGGTTGTGATCTGAGTAATATGGAGACTTGGAAAAGAACTGCCATATAAATCAGTCGGTTTCTTGTCCACTGCTCCCTAATCAGCAGTTTTCGAAGAGTGTCTCTACACGGTACATTCAAGATCTATATAAGAATAGCTCTATATAAGAAGTACTACATCAATATTTTTCTCTTCTTTTCCTCCCAACTATGGCCCCTTTTTGTCTTTGCCCTCTCTTCCTCTCCTAGCTCTTTGTTCCAGTCTTCTAGTACTAGCCATGCAAGGATGCCTTCATGCGATACACTGACCCCTGCGTGTGCCTCAGTCTCCCTTCCAATGCTGTTACTATACACCCTGCAGCAGAACTGCTTAGTTTAATTTAATCAGTCCAATTTGCCATCCTAGCTAGCAGGTCTCATCCCTACGCTACTTTCTCCCTTGTGCAGGAAAACAGATGAGAGAAGTGATTCAGCTGACAAATACCTAATACTGATCCCTTCCTCAAATCTTCCCACCTCCCACATCTCCTGTCCTGTGCTGGGACAGAAGAGGGGACCACATGGTGACCTCTGCAAGCCACAGACCGCACCCTGCCACCAGAAGAAATCAAATCAAACCATAACCTTGTCTGTGGAGTTAAGTCCAGCAAGATCTGCAGAATTAAGAGACAAAGACTCTCAAAGACTTCCAGGTCTTGACTCCAACAGCCCTACCGGTCCATAATCTTTTTTTCCCTCACCAATGGCAAAGGACAGGAGAAGTAGGGTTTCTCTGTGCTGAGTGGTTGAGTTTTGTCTGTTTTTTCTGGACAAGCATTTAGCACAGGCTTTAACATCAGTTGAGTGGTGGTAACAGAGCAGACTGTAGAGTCTTCCCACCTTTGGGATGTCATTTAGGGAAATTGTCATATGAAGTAAATGCAAAAGAACTAGAATATTTCTATTCAACTGCCAGTTCTCTTCTGCATAGCACTTATGGAACTAAACTTACAGTGACTCATAAATAATATGGTTTGATATTGCAGGCTGTTCACTGTTTCCTTCCCCTTAAACAGGAAACAAAATGTAAATTTTTCCTATTATTACTCTCCATGTTTGAACATGAGAGATTTAATCTCTTATTCAGTTTTCAAATCTATTCACTCCTTGATGGGACAAAACAGATTTTTTTTTTCCTCAAAAATAGGAGCGTTTAGTTCTTTAGATCTCTTATTATATGAGTTTGATTTTTCTCTGTTACCAAGGCCTCCACTCAGTTACCTCAAAATACTTAGCTTTTTACCTCAGGAGAACTTTCTGAAAGTACAGTTTCAGTAGAAACAGCTGTACAACCCACATAATTTTTTTATGGAGAGGCACATTAAGCTTCACATAAATAACATACAACAAAAGGGTGGAAGGAGTGGTAATGGTTTCTCTGAGTGCCACATAGAGCTTATGATACTTCCTCTCAGATATTCAGTCTTACACAAACCAAACCTCAAAAAAATAGAGTATGAGAGACAATGTGTAAAAGCGAGGAATGCATTTTTATTTCGTTTTAGCTTTTATACTTCAGTTCAAACCCTCACCCCAACTTATGAAAAAGGACAGAATGTGGTTCACTGCTAATATGACAATACTCATCTAAAAGTCAACAATTTCTGATGAAAGGTCCTGCCATCCTACCCACAATTAATTACACTATAAAATGAAATCCTAGCAGTCTAAAAAACCAACAAGAGTTCAATCACATTTTAAAATTTTAGATGATTAAAAATTGCAAAGCACCTTTCTTTTTTTAAAGAGCAAAATATATCAAAGGATCTATCTGTCTAGCATTTGGACAAGGCTATTACAATTTGTCATTACTGCAGTGTAAATAGAGCATGAGCTCTGATGTCATTATACTTACCGTCATACTCTGGAAAATAATCAACTAGATGGGAGTACATAATTTTCTCCTCTAAGAGATCTTTTTTATTTAAGAACAGAATGACTGAAGAGTTCTGGAACCATGGATATGTGATAATTGTCCTAAAGAGTGCTTTGCTTTCTTCCATTCGATTCTGGAATAAAAAAGAGAGTGGAATTTTGGTGATCATGATAGCAATTTTTACTTCTTTTTCTAAAATAAATTAATGCAATTTCACTTTATTTGGTAAGCTGATCCATTTCATGTTTTGCACCTTCCTACCAATATGTAAGGTTCAAGTAATTGAATTCAATTAATAAATAAGCAGTTAATTAAATATGCAGGCATTTTCCTTTTGCAAATTCAACCGCTCGAGCGTAAGTATTTTTTAGAACACAGGTTATGAACATGAAAGCTGTAACAGGTACATTTGTAAAACCTGAGTATGCACAACTATGACCAGCCAACACTGGTGGGTATCGAAATGCATGTGATTCATGGTAGAGACAAGTATACCACAACAAGACATAACAACAAGTTAAAGGTTTAAGAACATTGTTTATTTTATAGGTCTTTCTCGACCTTTAAATGCAGAGTTACTTAATCCTTAGAAAGAGATCAGCTTTAAAATAGTTGCAAGTAAATTTGCAACCGGGGAACATTTTGTCAACACCAAAGGCTCATGACATAAAATCTTAAAAATCTGTAAATTGCTAAATTTGTTTCTAACATCATTGGATTAGCCTGTACTTCAATTGCTTAACTGCTCCTAAAAACCACTTTGCATTATAGCTGAAATGTAAGTGAAGCCTACAGTTCTATTTGTAACACTTTTCTGTCACTGTAAAATTATGTTATGATTTGATAAGTTCTGAAGAACTGTTAGGCTGACATCATGTGGTTAATTCAGAGTCAGAACAAAGTGAGTTCAAACCAAAGGAATTAACTTACTCTTTTTATTATTATTATTTAAAGCTGCAAACCCCAGAAAAAAACTGTTTCACCACCAAACGGGGCTCCAGAGAACAGCAGCAAGGATCCTGCAGATTCTGCTGTTGCTGAGCCATACAACAATCAGATAACTCAGACAGTTTTGCAATAAGTATATCTTTACTTGCATTAATTTGCATTTTAAAGACACCAACATAAGCATGAAGAATAGGAACTTTTAAAAAACCAAACCAACCAACCAACCAAAAAAAACCCCAAAAAACCAAACCCTAAAAAAATTCCGTTTTGTAGAAGTTAATGGTTTGGTCTCTTATATCACCACAGAATCATCAAGCAATTTATAAAACTTTACCGCATGCTGGAGTGGTGGGTGAAAATAAATAGCCAAATTTGTAGATTGAGAAACTAACAAAGACGAGTAAAACCTTTGCTTTCTTGCAGTCAGTTCTTATGACTCACATTGATTTCAATAGTGCCAGGATTTCATTCAGAAAGGAGAAAAACTGAAATGTCAACAGACCTGAGCATAAAATCTCAGTCCTTACACTAACTGTTAATCAGACCATGTATTCCTCTCAACGTTCTATTATAGACTTCTTCTCTAAACAAGCTTTTACAGAAAGGCAAAGGGAACTACACGTGATAGTTGTCACTTTTACAGTTGTTGAAAAAGAGAAGGCAATGTAAACTTACAAACACCTGTTTAAATTATAAATATTTACCTAAACTCATTAACACTTGGTATCTTCTAATGTGACACTCGGAAGGTGAAACAGCGTCATGACACAATTAGCAGTGTTCTTTCATAGTAAATGTATAAGCTATTGAAAACTGCTTACTAAGAAAAGTGCACAGAAAACACAAAGAAATTACTTCTCTAGAGTATGTGTTCCTGCTTTTCACAAAAACCCTTCAAGAGGGCTGCAATATTTTCATCCATAATGCTGATTTTTTTCCATATACGTAACATAGAATTGCACAGACAAAATAAATACATCGGCTTGGATAAATATATGACCCTTTCTCCAAGAAAGCTCAAGAAAACTGTTTCGCAAACATTGTTATTAGACCCAGAGCACATTTTCGTTTTCTGTTTCAAAGGGATGCCAAACAAGATGAAGCAGAAAAGGCATGCCAGCTAAAGCTACATTGATACCATGCCTAAAACAATTCTGGCACCCCATCAGCTAAAACATTAACTCTGTAAGTGCTGCGTATCATAAAAACACCAGGAAACATACACAATAAAGAACAAAATATTGTCTCCAATGTAAGAAGAGTATGTCTACTATAGTCAAAGCTTCATTTCATACAGAAGCCACTTGCCTCCAAAAGCCATCCAGTTAACTATATTTCCAGGAAGAGCCAGGCTAAATCTGAACCTATTCCTGATTTTGGGAGAATAGGCTTTAGAGAGGCAACAGTAGTAGACTGCTGCCCTTGCTAACTTTGTATCAAATTATCCAGTCCTAAACAAAATTAACTGGAAGTCAGTGAATTGTGGGAAATGATAAAAAATGCACATTACATTGCCAGAGCCCACTGATGCAGAATTATTTCTTACAGTACGAGTATCTTGCCCTGTACAGTCATACCACCTGAGGATATTGGGAAAGTAAGACAATAAAGTCTTGCGCACCAAATGGTAGCTCTGAGGAACAGTAACTATCTTGGCACAGGGATTATTTCAGAGTGTACATCACTACAGAACAGCTCTTACTGCACCTCCACCTGCAGAATGAAGCAAACAGCAGGGATTAAGACATCAGGAAGGCTGCAGGCACATTTTCTAAGGAGTTGGCAAAGGATGACAACCTGTCCAAATCCGTTAGGAAAAAGGTCACTCTCCTTAAGATCCATAATTGACAGGTCTATGAATTGCCATGATCATTCTCAAGGAAAAGACCACACAACACTCACAACAGCAGTGTGGAAAAAAGACTTAGGATATCACTGGTTATCTTCTCTGAATGTATGTCACATTGCAATGCACAGACAAATATGCCTTCACAAAAAACATTATGTAATAAGATGGTACTGCTAGAACTTTAGAAGGACAGATTAGTCAATTCCAAGGATTCAATGCAGATTTCATATAATTCTTATATTTAACAAGTGTCTTGCAAAGGCTCGTGAATATATTAATTTTAACTAAGAAAACTCCTTTTCAGTTCATTGCATGACGTACATAACATTATGTATATATTACTAAATGACTGCTATGGTCGATGCTATTTCACTGGAAGAAAACCTTAATCTTAGATGCAATGATGTCATAAAGGAATTGTCTATGAGCTTGGCTGTTTTCTCTGATTGTATCAGCTGGTCTAATAAAATTGTTGCCTCTTCCTAAAGATCTTGCTTATTTTAGCATTTGTATTGTCCACAGGGATCCTCTGAATGAAAAACGTTAGTTGTATCTGACAGCATCATAAATTACAGGGCTGTTACTGTATTCATATGTCACATTAACATCATAGTTTTGACATCTAAAGATCAAACCAAGGAAATCCAAAATCTGTAATTGAATGTTCACTCTGGGTTTTTTTTTTTTTTCCCCCAGTTCTTTTATAACTTTATTATGCATAGACTTAATATCATAGTTGAAAACTCAAGGGGACTCAGAGGAGGGGGAAAAAACTAAATAGATCTAACTTCAGACTCAGGTTGGTTTTTTTACTATTTTTTTCTGCCTCTTCTTAGTGCCACGAACTGCACTTATAGTATGGACAATACTATCAAAGTGTAAGAAAACAAAAGTACTTAACATGCCCTAAAGAGAAGACAGATACTCACTGTATATTGACCATAGCTGTATCTTCTCCTGGTGTGTAGTCATAACATAATAAAACCTAAAGGTTCTATCTCTGCTGTTCCCTCCCTGTAACTCCCACTTTCAGGTGAGTGGTTTTTCCATAACTGAGCCCTTCCTTAGCAAATAAATAAAAATGCTTACCCATTGCCTGAATTATGGGAAATCTCACTGGCTTCTTCCCTTTCCCTATCCTTAAGCAGAAGGTAGAGAGGATCTCATTAAATATATACTAAACTCTCAGCACTTTTAAAAAACCGTCCCAAAAGCCAGCACTGTAAACTTGAAATTAAGATGTATCATTATGAAAAACAATTAGCCTCTGGCCTCTCCTTTTGAAACTATCCCACATATTGAATCAAACCATTTGCTTTTCATAGTTTCTGGTTTAACAGAGAAGAGTCAGAAAGTTTAAAAGAAGGCAAAGGCACAACAAAAGAGGCACAGAGATGAAATGTTACAGCTTCAATACTAGTGGAAAGTGATGGACTTCCTAGGAAAACATCGCAATCTGTATTTTTAATTTAAGGACTGTTTTTGTTAAACTTGTCACTAAAGGACTCGGCATAGTTATAATGAAGAGCAAGTGCAGTCAACTTACATGGGGGTAGCTAATAAATGTCCAACACAAGCTCTGAACATGAACATTAAGGGAAAAATTAATTTCGTATGTTATTAACATGTAAAGAAGCTGGATTCAGCAATTCTAACGATAAATATGCATGTATTTCTGCAAAGCTACTCCTTTGCTTATCATTAGGCTTAAGTCAAGATCTTGCTGTCAGATGCTCTGTTAGGAAAGGAGTAGGAAAGTATCATTATATGCTCTTCCATTTCTAAGTAGCTTTTCCCAAGAGGCAACCTTCTACGTTCTCTGCACCAAGGCATTGGGACGCTTATATTTGGAGAAGAATTTTGCCTTTATTTCACCAGAAACTAGTCATTATAAAATCAGAAACAGTAATTTACAGTTTAGTTCCAAAATCAGACTCCTCATATAACAATAATACTGCTCCTACCCAATACACATTCAGGGTCTGGCTACCTGGATGGCTTCCGAGTAAGGGCTAGGTCTACCAGCAGTAAAAACGCTACAATTAGATGACAGCAGTTACTATTGTAACTTGAGAGAACATAGAAAGCATGATTATGTACATCAGCAGGGATGCTGCTGCACTGCTGATACCATTAGACATACAACATGAATGAGTAACAACCCCATATTTAATTTGTTTAAATGTGATTTAATTTGTTTAAATGTGAACAGGTGTAAGTGCTCACAGTGACTGTCACACATCTTCCACTGAAACACCACTGAAATGGCAGCAGAGTACTGACTCTTGGCTGGAAGGCATCTCTAGAGTTCGTCTAGTTGAGTCTTTCATTC